GGTGTTTGTAAATAGGATATCAAGTCTGCATCTTGTACAGCAATTAACCACTAAGAAGAATGTATGCAGTGTGTTAATTATTGAATCTGTCCTACCGATTTGATTTGAAACTGTCTCATTGCTATTTGTTTAGGAATAAAATTATGGTCAAAAAAATTACAATAAACAGGATTTTTGTCTATAAAAGAATTCAAAATAACATTTCAAAATACATGGGGAGGGGGGGATCTCCAGTATCCTCAAAAATATACTGAGAGATAGGAAGACCCATCTCCCTGAAGGAAAAGAAAAAATAGAGACATAAGAGAAAGAGAAAAAAATTAAAACCAAAGCATTAGGCTGAGTTGAGCAAGGTACAAGTCTCGAAGAACAGGAGAAAGTGGGAGGAAGTATACTCAATGCAGATGAGTAGATCTTACAGGGATATCAATCTCCCTCAGCATTAAATATAATGAAAGCCAGATTTCTCACTATAAGAGAAGGTTGTTACAAATATGAAACAGAAGAAAATTAGAATGAATCTTAAAATATTAAGACAGATTCATGTACATGTATACATACATTCATATATGTAAAACATAACCAAGAATTACAACATAAATGCACTGCAATCATGTACAGTGACACACACATGTATTCTAAGGTACTCAGAAGACTAAGACAATAGAATCACGGGTTTAAGCCTAGTCAAGGCAACTCAACAAGACTCCATCTCAAAATTTAAAAATAAAAAGGGTCTAGGATACTGGGGTATATAGCTCAGAGATAGTGCTTGCCTGGCATGTGCAAGACCCTGGATTCAATCACAAACGTGGCAAGACAAATAAATAAAAGGACTGGGGATGTAGCTCAGTAGAAGAGCACTTGCCAGGAATAAACAAGGACCTGAGTTCACTTCCCCAAATCACAAAATAATAACAATAGCAAACAAACACATTCAAAGCTGAGATACCACTGGACAGGTCTTCCTTCTCTAACCAAACCAAATATTTGCCTTCTAAGCATGATATTTTTTTTATTTAGTACAGAGTCTACAGGGTCTTACTGCACAGATCAGACTCATAGTGATTCTCCTGTTTTCAGCCTCCCAAGTGCTGGGATTATAGGCACACACCACCACACCCAGTCTCGATTGCCATCTCAGCACGCAGAGCCAACACGGTACTCCAGAGATCAAACCCCGACTACTGTACTCTACCTAAGCAGGTGCTTTAGTCCGCTAAGCTATCTGGCTGGCCCTAAGTATGAATTTAACTACCAGCTAAGAAAAAGCTTAAACAAGAAAGAGATGGAGGCTAATCTAGTTACTTTACATAGAAGAGTTTCTGAAAGATGAGATGAGAGTTTACAAAATTAGAGTTGCAGGTTTCATATGTACCAGGTTACATATGCCCCAGAAACTGCAAATACCTTGATAATCACAAAACATTAACCTAACATCAGCCATTAGTAACTTACTAGTATAGAATGCTTGCCTCTGAGAGACAAATGTTTTTTTTTTTTAATTTTATTTATTTATTTGTGTGTGTGTGTGTGTGTGTGTGTGTGTGTGGCCAGCTCAGCCCACCAGGGGGCAGGGCTGGCTGGCATGTGGTGCTGGGGGATTGAACCGCGGTCCCTGTGCTTTGCTAAGCCTGTTCTAAGTAAGCGCTTTAGACCACTGAGCCATCTCACCAGCCCAACAAATGTTGATTAAATGGAAATTTCTATAAAATTGAAGAGAGGCGTGATTAGGAAATGGTTACAACAAGCCAACTACTACTTCAGGTAGCTATGACCACAACTCAGCTGGAGGCATCTTTCTGCATTCACCTAGTGTTTCTGCAGGAAAGGACACAAAAGCTAAATTTGCATTACCCCCAAAGTGTTCTTTGACATATCAATCACATTTGAACAATTTCTCATTTTCATATCCAGCATTATAACAGAAATTAAGGTATTATTTACACTTCCTCTTTTGTAAGGTATCCAATTTCTTTTTCCTTCCCATGAAAGTTTTCTGGCCATTTTGGTTAAAAAATCACGTTGTCATTTTCATAATAATTAACAGATTTGGGGCTGGAGAAATGGCTCAGTGGTCTAAATCACCTACTTGAAGCAGGCTTGGCAAGGCACAGGGACCTCGGTTCGATCCTCCAGCACCACATGCCAGCCAGCCCCACCCCCTGGTGGGCTGAGCTGGCCACACACACACACGCACAATAAATAAATGTAATAAAGAAAAATAAATAAATATTAAAAAAAAATTAACAGATTTTCTTTATATATCCTGATCAATAATCTACCCAAAGTATCTTCTCCAATTATGTTGCCTGTTCTTTCATTTCCCTTTTTGGTTTATATTGATTAGAAGTTCTTTTTCTTTATGGCTATGATTTCTGTGCTCTGTCTTAAGTGATCTTTTCCCCACTCTAGTTCACAAATATTGTCTAATTTATTTGTCTTTCCTTATTTTTTAACTATTATTGAGATGAGACTGGTGTCATATGAAGATATGAAGACTACACTTAGAAGTAGTTACATAAGT